AATATAAAACATGTTTGAACAAACAGTCATGTGGAAACAAAGAGTCGTGAAACAAGCTGCACAGAAGTGGGAGAAACCCTTGGCAACTCATGCATATCTATGGTAAAACCTTTGACCTTTGATTTTCTCAAAAAGGCAACATTTTTAAACGCACCAAAAGTAAAAGCATCACAAACTGACCCTATGAATTTCAGTCTGCTTGCTATAGCAGAAAGAATTTCTGCAACATTGTGTTTACATCCATATACAACAAGAATCTCTCTTTTTTACTTTAACCATCCACAGAACCGGTTTCCAACATGCATCACCCTGATTAAATGTGGATATTCAAATATCTGCTTATGACTCTAGTAAAAAATAACCAGAAAAAAGTTTTTTTCTAAATACTGTTTCTTTCATTTTTGCAGGTGTAGCCACACAGCTAAACAACATTTTATTATGTTGTCATTATGGTCCAAATTCCAGAAATGGCTGCCTGTAAATGGTTAATTATGGTTTGTTTTTTGTTTGTTTGTTTTATCTTTTCCACCTTTGGAAGGGTTGTCCATTTTGATCTTAAAGAGAAAGTGTGGAAGATGAAGGGTTTGGTTTTTTTTTTTTTACATTTCAGCTGAAAAAGCCAAACCCGTTAAAAGGAAATCAAAACACACACACACACGCGTACTAAACGTGCTAATGATGTTAAACAGAGATTCACATATTGGAGTTCAGATAATCTTTCATTCAGAATCTGTTGGTAAAAACAGATATTTTCATTAGTCACACACACACACACACACACACACACACACACACACACACACACACACACACACACACACACACACACAAACTGGGAGCACAGTTCATTCAGACTCAGCTGGAATAATAATCTCAAAGCCGTTTCATCTTTTGAAATGCTAAATTCTCAAACTGACAGGATGGTAATAATGCATTTTTCTCAATACACCTAACTAGTTATGAGTGTGGTAATTGAGTGCAGAGGAAACAGAAAGTGCATGCAGGATATGCATGTAGACAGACAGGACCAAAAGGGAGGAAAGAAAAACCAAAGATGATGGAGGATAAGGGTGGCACGAGGCTCAGGGAGCAAACTCTGCACTGCTTTTGTATTCAGATTTGCAGGTTAATGACTGAACACCAGCTGCATTCTGCCGAGTCGATGCAGGGTTACATGTATTTATAGCCTCGGCTGCTGTCAATCAATATTTCAAACCCAATCTTCCTTCCTGCTTCTGTGTTCTCACATCTATCCTGTAGCTTATTTCTACTTTTCACCACAGCTTCTTGAAAATTGCCACCCAGGAGCCTGTGGTTAACACAGCTAGGTATATACGTGGTATATTATTTAATTAAGACTCCTAAAGCTCTGATTCTGATATTAAAATAATGCCAATGCTGAGGTGTTTGTCTTTGTTAGGGCGCAAGGGTCTTGTTTCTACTTTTAAGGTGAATCTACTTTGAGTGAGTCAATATTAGTGAAGCAGCCTTCACTGAGGATACCCGTGCTATTTTTGAGGCTTTAAACTTTTAATAATTGCATAAAATTTTGGGGGGGGGGGGGGGTAGAAATTGGCTGCTGCTGGTGGTTCACCACGCTGCTTAAGTTTGCAGACAAGACGTTAAGATCTACACAGCAGCGTCTGACTACACAAGGACCTTCACAATCGCTGTTAGAAACATACAATAGACACAAAAATACTGAGGCAATAAAATGCCCTCCGAGCTGTATATATGGGTGCCTCCTACCAAGGCAGCAAATCAACCCACATGTTTCTTATTCAGAGAATGTCTAGTTACTTGACAGGAAGTAGATATCATACCTTCCACGATAAGACCAGCATAACTTTCTGTTTGAACCAACTGCATGACACATTTCAGCTCCCCAGTGTGCACAACAAAACATCAAGACTGAAAGCAAAACCAGTCACTTGGAAGAGGGCAAACCTCTTCAACACAATTAACCCTTTATAGGGCACTCATTGAAGAATTTTAATATTTAAAATTTCAACCCCAGGGTGTTATTGTAGTCCATAACCAAAGTGTATTTCTGTTGTTACAATTTTCAAAAATATTTATTTTCATGTGGAAAATCAGAGAAAACGAAGTGATCAAATGTGGACGTTGGCCCTGTTCTGGTAAAATAAATCCCAAAATAAAACACATGAACAAGTTAAATAAACATTATTTTTGAATAATATAGATAATTATAAGACACTTTAGAATATTTTAGCTAATTTAGAACATTATATCATTGTTCAATAATACAGATTATATCACAATTATTAAACAACATAGAATATTTTTATGAAAACAGATGATTGTAGAATATTTTTAAACAGTTATTTGAACAATAGATACTATTTCTGATCAAATACGGATTATTATCATATTTTAGAATATTTTATATTTGAAGATATGTCTCAGGGTCATCTTCCTCCTGTTCATCATCATCACTGATGGTGAGATTGGTTGGCACAATAACTGTCCTGCTCCATTTCCCAGAGAAATCTTAGTTTAAAACTGAAAATATATTCAATATATTAATTGTTGTTATTACTGTTACCATGAATATTAAGATTATGTCTAAGAAACAACAGATTTTACCTAAAAATATTAATAATTAATTTTACTTGTTTAGAGCGTGCATTCAAATGCGGCAGATTGGATGTCCATGCAATGATATCACCAACTTTATTGAGTTTAACATTTACAACACATATATATTTATTTAGCAAAACTAGTCAACCTTGTGATGTGAGAGTTTCATAAACCTAGCATTGTTAGTTTTGGAGATCTGACCATAAACATGAGAGGAGACCGAGGAGTTTTCTGGCTCTGCAGACACAACAATATTTGGCGCATTATAGCCCCGCCCTGATTGGTGGAATGGCGCCATGGCGCAAATCGTAACTAGCTTGATCTGATGATTGTTTGGGTGAAATCCCATAATTCTAAGAGTTTGTGAAAAGGCACACCAACATCATTTATGATGTGAGTGGAAGTGTCTAAATATAGAGTTTGGCCCTATTAAGCGTTAAACATATTTAATCATTTAGAGCAAAAAATAAGCACCAACCAGGCAAAGACGATACGCAAAACGAACCAGGAAAACTTGTTGTATGAGGTCCAAAAGTAAACAAATTAGATTCTGGAGCCTATTTTATAAGATTATCATGGAGTACCTCCACACTTTGAGAGTGGAGAGGATGAGTGGCCTGCCATGACTCGACACCTCAACCCAAATAAGCACTTGTGGGATCAGGTGGTCTAAAGTGACCAACACCACCATGCTGGTTCACTGTCAACAAGTCCTGGTGGAGGACCGGGATGCTATTCTACAGTAAAACAAGACCAGAGCGGGGGATTGTCTAACTGAGGTCATAGCTAGTTTAAAATGAATATGAATGAAGTGTAAAAATGGCCAATATGTGTTAAGTCATCTAATCTATCGGGCCTTGATACAAAACACCAACTGGTGGTGCTGATTTTGAGCAATAATAGTTCCACTCTGTTTTAGGAGTTTATTATGATATAATTTACTAGCCTGGCAAGCCAGACTAAATAATACAGTTATTTAGTCTGGCCATGCTCCATTGACAGCTCTCGGTTGTGGGGTGGGTTCTACCGTTGTCTTTCAAATGATCTCTGCATTCCACTGGACAATGAATGTGACATACTCTTGTTTCACTCTGTTGCATCATCCCACCCACCAGGCATATAGAGTGCCCTGATTGGCCCACAAAGTAGATAAAGCTCTGTGATTTGTTCACTAAGCAGATAGAGCACTATGATTGGCCCACCATTATGGACCAATCACAGCTCTTTGTGTTTGAAACCCCTCTAGAGAGCTGTGATTGGCTAGCCAGAGTCCTGGTAGGAGCTGCTGAGGTTCCAATGGAGCATGCCTAGACCATTCTTTGCAAAGCAAGAATTTGGTCTAGTTCACTAGGCTAATAATTTACAGTTTTGACAACAAGTAAATATTTGGATAATTTCCATAGAAAATATAAAAGTAAAATGAAAGCCATGATTTTTTTAAATATTTTTAGTGAAGTTTGGATAACCCAAAATAAATCTGCAACAAATGATGACTTACTATTATTGTAGGATAATCCCAATTTAAAGGGACGTTATCATGCAAATTCCACTTTTTGGAGTTTTCGACCATGTTATAATGTTATTTCCTCATTAAGACACCCCTACAGAGGTTTTTAGCTTCACATATGCATTTTCCTGTTTAAGCTATTGCAAAAGGCTTGATAAACTGATGGACTGTAAACACTAACACCCAGTCTCTCTGTGTAGCTAGTGGGGGGGGGGGGTTAACCTCCACAGTTGTGCAGAAGTTATTTCTTTCTCATCTAGTCTGCACTTTAAATAAAACCTAGAATCAAAAAATGGATTTTGGTTTGCTAGAGGACAGGATCCCTGTCCAGTCTTCCTGAAGAAGAGTTTAATCCGTAGAAATGATTGGATTTTATCTTCAGGAGCACTCAAAAACTGAGCTAGTATGTGACCATGATTGTTAATTCATCCAGTACTGGAGTGTGTTTTCAGATGGAATAAACCAATGCCATGTCATAGTGTTAAAACCACCCGAGTGGCCAGAGAGGTGAGTGCACCAAAAATGCTGACCATCAACCAGCAGATCCGACAGGGTTCAAGCGGTGGGAGTCTCTCGAATGACTAGTTTATTTTTGGCTCTCTTCCTGGCTGGGATGATGGTCAGCGTGTGGAGAGTCTCCTGAAAGTTTTTTTTATAAGGCTGGATGGTTGGAAGCAACCTGGACATGTGGCGCCAGCGCTGATAATCAAAGCTGCTATCTAGATGCTAAATATTGATTCAGTATCGTAACACAAAAATTGCGATATTTCTGTGTATCGATACTTTCTTACATCCCTATTGTGAAGTAAATAAACCCACAAGACATCAGTTTAATACTAAAACTAAAACAAAATGGCTCCAGTGACAGAAGGACAACCACATAGAAGCTTACCCGTTCTCCGGAGCGTGGTCTCTTCTTTGACCTGCTGGGTAGCGCATCTTCCTTAGGGTTGGTGTCTATGGCCCAGTAGGAACCCTAAATGATGACCACATTAAATTCATATTAGCGTCCTTATTTCCAAGCTGCTCTTTCAGAGTGTTGTCATTTCCCTGCGATCGTAGGGCACACGAGAAAACTCTTCCCAACACCATTGTTAGATATTTGAAGCTGGAAGATGGAACATTTTTACCTGGAAACCTGTGATGATGACGTATTTTGTGATAAATCCACCTCTTTCTAACTCCTCTTTGCTGTGCCATCACAAGATTACAAAGGATGATCCTATTTTTAAGTGAAATTGATATTGTGCACTCTGATATTGCAATGGCAGTATGCAGCTCTAATGGATGGAGGATCTGTGTTGGGCTCTTTACGTTCAGTTTAGTCCAACAAAGCCCAGCTGCATTAAGTAAAGCCATTGCAGCCGTTTGTCTTCCGTTTCTGTATCGAATCAGTTCCCTTTACTTTTGTTTTTCCATAAGACTCAATGCTGTTTCTGAAAATCCACACAAATAAAACACAGCAAACCCAAAAATTTAAGTGCACAGTTAAATCGGAGGTAATCAGTTACTTCTGGAAGTTCTTGGTTTCCTCCAGGTTGAGATTCTTGGTTTATTTTTTACATTTCATTTTTATTCGTCCCTCACAAGGAGGTCTAATGCTGCAGACAGAGTTGAAGAGATTCATCTAGGTCACACACACTTCAACCCTCAACTTCTAGCTCCCTCCTCCTCTCCTCCCTCTCTGCCTCTCAGTCCCACATCACTGAGCTGTACACAGCCAATTAACGTTAGCACATGCATGATTTAGCGTCTCCACTCTCTCTGTGGCTTCAAACAGAACGTGTACATTCAACCTCTCCACACGCTGATGACCCCATCCCTCGCCAAAGTATCGACCACTTCGATCCATGTCGTGAATTGAGGTGCTGGTCAGGTCTGAGTAAGGCTAATCAGGGGTTAGCCACTCTCTTTGTGCCTTTCCACACTATAGGCCTCCACTCAAGCCCAAGGATTTCCTGTGAATAATTTAAACCTTCTTCTCCCCCAATTCATTTTTCAATAGTTTCTAAATCCCCACAGCCAGGAGAGCCCCCCACCCTCTTCCCCCAACCAACGAAATGAGCAGTTTTAAAAGTTTGTTGAAAAGTTTTAGCTTTCTTTTCCCCGCTATAAAAAGTTGAGGATTGTTTTTGGTTTTAATCCGGTGACGAGTTAAAGTGCAGTCCTTTTCAGCATTTATTAAAAACGTAATGTAAGGACAAGCTTCAGTGATCAACCTTAATTATATACTTCCCCCATCTGAGCAAGTCCTTCGATTCTGCACAAACAAGGACTTGACAAATTGTTATCAAACAGAAGTGGTCCTGGCAGAAAGGGGTTCCCAACGACGGCAGAGGCAGCGGCGGAGGAGAAACGTATCTAAAGCTTCCTGCGATTGTGTCCAAGAGAGAGAGAAGGAGAAAAACAAACTCTAATTAAAGCTGCAAGCAGCGTCGTTCGGCCCTCGCAGCTCCGCGCCGCTCCGGTCTGCCGTCGCACCAGTGCACGTCTGACAGAACAGAAACGTCAACCACCCCGACACCAGAAACCGCGAATGGCCTCCTAGTCTGCACCTCACCCTGACTCAGCATCCCCTCTGAGCTCACCATTAAATTGAATATTAAGATTACGGCGTTACGCCAGAATTCGCCATGGCATCAAAGCCCCTCCCTTTCTGGAAAGCTATCAGATCTGAATGGTCATTACAGCATCATGAAGACAGTGCATGACCTTAGGGTCATGTTGACTAAATTAGAGGGGACAAATATGGGCATTTCAGCATAAAAAATAAATTCCTGTAGTCAGGGGGCGGGGCTTAGGTGATGTCAGCTGTCCACATTGTCATTGTTTACAGATATGGTCAATGATCACACAGACAAAGTTCGAAAAAGATCTGATCATGCACATGGGAGTTATTAAGTCAAGTAAAGTAATGGCGAAAGGTCAACGTTTGAGGCTTAGCCACGCCCACACCTTTCAACTTTTGAAAAATCCGACGGTTGAATTTTTTCCCCTATGTCTTAAGAGTGTATTGCAGAAGTTTGAAGGTGATTGGTGAAAAGGGCGACGGAGCATCACTCTCCAAACAATGTGTGCGAAAACCACTAAATCACGTACTTGCACCAAAATGGCCGACTTCCTGTGCGACTTTACGCTTGGCTCCAAGAGACTTTTTTGTAGGTCCTGAGACCCCACATTAGTGTACCAAATTTCGTAATCCTCAGTCAAAGCATGGCTTGGGGCTGAAAGTTTTAATGGCTCTAGGGGGCGCTATTTAAGAATATAGGCCACGCCCACAAACTTCAGCTGTCTATTTCTCTTGGAGCTCAGACTAGGATCACTCACCAGAAGTTTCGTAGCAATATCACGATAACTGAAGAAATGAGACAAACGTATTTCCATGGCGTGATGGCGATTTTCGCCATGGTCCCAAAGCCCCGCCTTTTTTCAAAACCTGCCAGTACTGGAGACCAAGTAACCTCAACTTGTCTACTGCTGTTTGCCACAGAATCCTGGTGATTGGGTAAAAGGAGTCCAGTAGGGAGCTGTGAAAAAAAGAGTAGCGTGGCGACAGGTCAAAGTTTGAGGCTTAGCCACGCCCACACCTTTCAACTTTTGAAAAATCCGACGGTTAAATTTTTTCCCCTATGTCTTAAGGGTATATAGCAGAAGTTTGAAGGAGATTGGTGAAAAGGGCGACGGAGCATCACTCTCCAAACAACGTGTGCGAAAACCACTAAATCGCGTACTTGATCCAAAATGGCCGACTTCCTGTGCGACTTTGAACTTGACTCCAAGAGACTTTTTTGTAGGTCCTGAGACACCACATTAGTGTACCAAATTTCGTAATCCTCAGTCAAAGCATGGCTTGGGGCTAATAGTTTAAATGGTCCTAGGGGGCGCTATTTCAAAACATAGGCCACGCCCACAAAATTCAGCTGTCTATTTCTCTTGGAGCTCAGACTAGGATCACTCACCAGAAGTTTCGTAGCAATATCACGATAACTGAAGAAATGAGAGACAAACGTATTTCCATGGCGTGATGGCGATTTTCGCCATGGTCCCAAAGCCCCGCCTTTTTTCAAAACCTGCCAGTACTGGAGACCAAGTAACCTCAACTTGTCTACTGCTGTTTGCCACAGAATCCTGGTGATTGGGTAAAAGGAGTCCAGTAGGGAGCTGTGAAAAAAAGAGTACCGTGGCGACAGGTCAAAGTTTGAGGCTTAGCCACGCCCACACCTTTCAACTTTTGAAAAATCCGACGGTTGAATTTTTTCCCCTATGTCTTAAGGGTATATAGCAGAAGTTTGAAGGAGATTGGTGAAAAGGGCGACGGAGCATCACTCTCCAAACAACGTGTGCGAAAACCACTAAATCGCGTACTTGATCCAAAATGGCCGACTTCCTGTGCGACTTTGAACTTGACTCCAAGAGACTTTTTTGTAGGTCCTGAGACACCACATTAGTGTACCAAATTTCGTAATCCTCAGTCAAAGCATGGCTTGGGGCTAATAGTTTTAATGGTCCTAGGGGGCGCTATTTCAGAAAATAGGCCACGCCCACCAGATGTTCACATCAGATCTTTTGGGGGGCCGGACTAGGATCACTCACAAGAAGTTTCGTGACGATATCTTTGGAAATGACGAAATGGGAGGCAAACGTAAGGCCAAGGCGGTACGCCTGAATTCGCCGCGCCACCACAGCCCCGCCCTCTGCCGAAAACTCCCATAAAGTGACGCCAAGCAACCCCCACTTGTCTTGAGTTACCAGCTACAAATTTGTGGTGATTAAGTGAAATGGGGCAATTTGGGACCTTTCACAGTAAAACTTGATCTTTTTGGTCCTGAGGGGGCGGGGCTTGTGTGATGTCATCATCCGACCTTTCAATTTACTTTGTGGGTGGATGACGAATGACCACAGAAAGTTTGGTAACTCTATTCCATTCAGTTATGAAGTTATAGCAATTTAAATATTTTTGGCGAGTAGTCAAACTTCGAGGCCTGGCTCCGCCCCTTCAGCATATACGAAAACTCAGAATCCTTATCTCATTTTGTTCGCCCATCCCTTCTGAGCAATTTTACACAATTTTTGAGACGATCGTGCGAAAAATGATCGAGCAATCCAATCAGAAACGGACCCTAAAAACGGCAAAAACGGCAAAAAATCGCCATTTCAACCCAAAATGGCCGACTTCCTGTTTGATATTGACCATGGTTGCAAGAGACTTTTCTGTGCGGACTGTTGAGTACTACAAGTGTACCAAATTTCATAACTGTACGATAAACTAAGCTTTATGGAGAGGGGTTTTTTTCACTTTGTAGGGGGCGCTGTTCAGCCATTTTCTTTGCGATTTTTTTGGGACCTTTAAAATATCAAATTTTTCACCAGGCCTGACAAGTGTGCAAAATATTGTGAGTTTTGGGGTATGTTAAGGTCCCCAAAAAGCTGTTCAAAGGGGGCACGGAATAACAAAAAATAATAATAATTAAAGCTGCAAGCAGCGTCGTTCGGCCCTCGCAGCTCCGCGCCGCTCCGGCCTGGCCGGCAGCCCGGGTCACCAGGGCACGTCCGCAGAACACAAACGTCGACCACCCCAACACCAGAAACTGCTAACGGCCACCTTGTCCGCAACTCACCCTGACTCAGCATCCCCTTTGAGCCCACCATTATATTTTATGTCTCACCACTAGGGAATCCTCTATCTTTACCACACTGGTGGTGTGATGACAGTGACCAACTTTAATGCTATTCTGACCATGTTTTTTAAAGTTATCGAAGGATAACGTTATCTAGGTGGCGCTGTGACCAACTACAGAAAAGTCCCATTGAGGTCAGCTTTGGTGACATTATATAACATTCACCAACCGTTTGTGCCTCATTGGCTAAAGGGCATGATTGTTCATTGCCATATTCAGTTTCGGGCAAATCGGAGGCCGTTTGTGGAAGTTACAGTCAAATGTAAGGTCATGGCGTCACGCCAGCATTCACCATGGC